TACCGGTACGAGAACGACCTGGATGCAAGGTTCTCCTCCCGACTTGGACATTTTAATTCCAAAACAGAGCGAGTGCAAACTCTTGATTCTTGAACGCGACTTTCAAAAGAGGTAATCAAGGCAAAGGAGAGAAACTTGGACCATGACTTCGATAGTAGAACTGTTTCCAAAATGCCGCAAACTCGCGTACGACTCTCGCCAACAACTGGCGCAGGTACAAAACGGAACACTGCACGCATCTGAGCTATTCATCTCTCTGGATGAACTGTCACGGCAGCTCGAACTGATGAACAAGCTCGTGATGCGCGAACGACCGGCTCAGAGAGAAGTCTGGAAACGAAAAATACAKGAACTGAGGGTCGAAGCCGACGGTGTGCGGAGAGCCGGGGAGCATTACGATCGCCTCGTGAACACAAACGTACGCCAACAAAAAGAACGAGACGAATTGCTGACGAGACGACGGCAACGAAAAGAGAATTTTTCTTCCGTCAGTGAGCGAGACATGAACAATCTAGCAGACGAATCGAAATCGTGGAGCCAAAGCCAATACATGGTAAACGATCTGATCGCGAACGGCGAGGCGAGTCTCAGCGCCCTCGTGGAGCAACGCCAGCGSATGACKGGTGTCTCCAGGTTTCTCGGACAAATCGACGATCGGTTGGGGATATCGAACTCGACGATGAAGATCATTGAACGACGGGATATCACGGATGCCTACTTTGTGCTTGGAGGGTGTGTTATTACGTGTATAGTGATATACTTCACTTGGCTATAACGATACTATTAAACAAAACCAAAACTTTATTTTTATATATTGGTGGAGTCGTAAAATTGTTCTTCTGGATTATTCACCCATTACCTCGTCATCGGATTGTCAGACGCCGGATGCGGCGCGAGGARTGTTCCGTGTAGGATTCGTCTACTCCCATGGGTTTTTTGTCAAACGTGGCGCGATCGTAGCCCTCACTCCACGGGCGTCTATCGGCATCGGTAAGATTGCGCAGGTGGAGAACGGACGGATCGGCTCGCAGCAAGGCAAAGGACAGCCACAGAGAATCGTTTCCTTTGGCCTCGTCGCTCGTTCCGTCTTCGAGTCCCGCGAGAGCGTACGGCAACAACTTTGTSATCGGGTCCTGGATGTTCAGGGACCGCGGATAGGTGCGGATGAGGGCCGCAATCAGCGGCATTGGCTGCTGTGCGCGGACGGCGACGTGGAGAGGCAATTGATTCGTWGTCGTTGATCTGATGAGAGACGCACGTGGGAAAGCCTTCAACAATTTTAGGCCCAACAAGTTGTCTGTTGCGRTGTTTCCATTTCCAGATTTTGCAGGCGTGTTGGTTTGTGTTTCGGTTTCGGGTTCGTTGTTGTTATTATTTCGAATGCTAGCACACCTCCTTCCGCATGCTAAGTGGAGAGGAATGTTGCCGTGCCGATCCGCTTTTTGTAAATCTTCCTTTCGGTACTTCAGTGCGAGATCGGTAAAAATTGGAGGAAAGTCATACGGCGACCCCGCAATAAAATGCAAGGGCARCCACTCAGAAAAACCCTGCCTTGSTTCATTAAAAGCTACCAGTCGATTGATCGATCGTTGCTGCGGCTTGCTGTCCCCGTTGAAATAATTWTTGCATCCTTCATCGGCAGCACTACTGCGTGTGGTRACATGRCTGAATTTGTTCTTTTTCCTGCTGTAGTTGCTGTGGACGACGCRGAGATATTGTTGTACGTTCTCCCATACCTCCTTCCCGCAAACATCGTGCTCTGTCCAATCCGAGTCGACAAAATTGGTTGTGAAATGGTCAAAGGGTCTCTTTCCTTTTTGGTCCCGAGCCATGATGGCGTCGAGAGAGTGCCGCGTGAGTTCTTTGATTCGTCGGGGAGACATGTACCCACCCAGCGCCCAGTGCAGAGGAGTTTCGCCGTCTTCGTCGGTGCAAAGCGTGGGGTCGATGGACGGGCGGGGTTGGCAATAGTCCATCATGAGTTTCAGCGTCGAAAACGGGCACTGCCGCGAATACGCCAGGTAATGGAGTGGGGTGGATCCCCTMGAGTCCTTGGCGAGCACCAGAGACAACACCGTCGGGGCACGGGGATTTCCTGTCGCGTCCCGGGAACTCTCTAGAATCACTTTCATCATGTTGGTGTCGCAAGAGTTTTCACAAAGAACGTGCAGGGGGGTCTTCCCCATGGAATCCTTCACGGTCAGTATGGATTCGTGAATCGCGGTGCTGCGGTCGTGCCTCCGGCTGTGGTTTTCGTCGYTTTCGATATCTTCCTCTTGATCCASGTTTCCAGCATCTCGGTTGTCATCACGGTTGTCGTATACRCGAGATTCGGCAGCATTGATTTCATTTCCGTTTCCTTCTGCTTCCCCGTRTCCCTCAATCGCCGGATTGATTTCTAGRTTGTGCATGTTTTCGTTGTTGTCGTTTTCGTGGTCGCCGTCATCGGTGTCTGCATMAGGAGAGATAGCGACCTTGGTAGGCCCAAGAGAATGCGACACATCGATCATAAATTGTGTCACGTCGTATATTTTTGTCCCCTCTTCCAATTCGCAAGCATCAAAAATCTTGTCGAGTTCYGCCGTCTCATCGCTCGGATTCGTAGCACTATCTTCGTGCTCGTCGTCCTCTTCTTCGTCTTCCGAAAATTCCTCTTTGGAAAAGCGCACGCTGGTGGGGCAGCTCGCAAGTTTGCAGAGTTCGTGGATTGCAAGGCGATTRCTGTTATAGTTGTTTGGTGAATGATGAATACTCCCCCTCCTTCGCTGTCTTTGGTATACGGCGTTGTGGTTGGYCGCTACTATATCGATTGCCCCTTGCCAGTGTCGCTAGTTTTGTTTCGGRAGCGAAAGGTGGAGAGCAAATGAATGATACGTAGAAAGGTGAGTAACCTGCGTGGTTWTGAAAAGTACCGCAGAGTCATCGTAGGRAACGCATAYCGCATGCACATACCATTTCGATGCACTCCAACAAATCAGGCGWAGGCGATTGATYACTGCTACGACTCATCTTCGATCCGCGGGCTCGAAGTAGAAGAYCAAGCWGTAAAATTAATTGATAGCGTTATTTGATTCTACGGTTYTCGCCAAGCCTCTTCGTCAAGATTTCAACGTCCGATTGCAAATGCAACAGCGATGCMCAGTGCCGAAAATTAGTTGCGTCGACTAGCTTGCCGTTCCGAAATAGTGCCTTTACATAGAGAATGTTACTGCATAGGTTTTATTGAATAATAAATTCGACTTTCTCGCCGTCGGACGGCGCTTCTGTGTGAGTGTAAAGAAAATGGAGATTGCAACGTACTAGTAAATTTTACGGTTGTTGCTGTTGTAGTCAATGTGTGTGGTCTTCTAATTTTACTTGCGAAGCTCATACACGCAGGTGCAACCGGTGTTCCAAGAAGAACTGGACTAAGTTCTCCTAATTCGTACACAAATCATTCATCGTCGTTCAGAATAATAAAAAAAAAAGAAGAATGTATGAAATAATGAGTGAAAAATGTTCCACTAAGCGTTCCATCCGTACTACCGGTATGACGSGATTGTTGTGGGTTTCCCATGATTTTTCTTTTCTCGGTGACAAGAAGTACGCACTTTCCGCGGACGACAGCTTAGTCCCATCTGGCCAATGATACCATACCTGGTGTCATCTAGATAGCAAGCAAACAAAAACCAGAACYGAATGACGAACCAACTCKTTAAGCCATGCGCGACAAAGAACACCGGGCCGAAAGGCCTTCTTGTTGTTTKAAGGGAGAATTTACCAATACGCTAACAAATTTTACTGCTTACAGTAGAAGCTATTACGGTGCATGATCAACAACATCCAGCCTCGTACCTACTGTATAGTACTACTGTATGTTGTCATAATACAGTATCGGAAATAGAAAATACAGTACGTACGGTACGGTACAGTGCCGTACTGGTAGGACAAAAAATGTTAAAACACTTTACTAGTAGCATACCTGGTACTCCTCTGACAAAACCTGACAGATTGGTGAATTTTGATCACCGTTCCATCGGCACAAAGYGAAGTCATTCTAACAAAAGTTGTGAGCAGTGTCAGAAATGCCAAGAATTACAATGCAGCACTCGATMAGTAGTGCTAGTATCAGATGGAAACCTCAGTTTTAACATATTCTAAATCTATCTATCAAGCATRGCATTCTATTCTGAGGATATCAATCTATTGTGCCATTCCTTTCTTGAATTCTTTCTAGCACAATTCTCGCGCATGAAGCCCTTGCAAACGATTGAACGATTGCGAGCTGGCCACAACCGCAAAAAACGTGAATCAAAGCGAATCGAACCGACCGAGTCGATCCGAGTCGGTCAATCACGACAGATCCTACAGTTGCACCTGGGATGCTCGCCTTCTTCTCCTGTCTTSTGCCACTGCTCTTTAACTTCKCGTTCTATCAACATTGGATGAACGTTGTCGTAAATTACTTGCTGATCTCGAAAGAAGCGACGGAGAGACAGACTCGAGTACTTGAGTGAAAAATGCACTAGAATGAACATAGTATCTGGGTTCGAAGCAATGTGGGGTTGCAGATCATCCCAGTGAGTGTGCTTGGTCACTTCAGCCCGCTCTCGACTGTCCACATCGATGAATGTGCATTCCAAGACCACCGTGGAATGATGTTTGAGAATTTCGGGGTAATCCTCGAAGACTTTGGCCGTCGTGTCGCCCATAAAGCAAAGATACGGCTCTTCTACAACTTTCGTAACATCGACTCCATCCTTTTTCAGCTGACCTATTTCTCTGCCCGATAGACCCTTGAAGTCTTCCTTGAGACTGCTTCGGAGTCGAAATATACTATATCCCAAGCACGGTATGCGATGTGTCATGCTCAAGGTGCGCACTCGAAACTTATTTCCTCCGTGTGAAACCAAAAACTCTTCATCTGGCCTTRCGGCTTTTAATAGGAATCCGCTCTTCCTTTCCGTCGTCTCTGTATCATTTCCGCTGTGCTCTGCCGCTAACGATTGGCATTCCGTCATTTCTTCGTATGCCTTCAAACAGGTTTCCACAAAGGGCATACTGGCTTCAGGCAGGTAGATTGTGGGCGGCCGCTCATCGTCCTTGAAACGGAACAAAAAATGTATGTGATCCGAGTGTGTGTGGGTCAAGAAAATAATGCGTGGTTTCCATTCTTGTACCATGGCACCGCAGTCAAACAACCATTTCATTTCGGGAATCGCGAAAGCGGTTGCATCCCCCGCTCGGCTCCTCCCAACGAGAGTGGTTGGATTGGTGCCCTTCTTGCCAGCAGCAAAATCGCCGACCGAAACCCTGGTGGTCTCTGCTAGCATCGCCATTTTCGTTTTTGGTTTTGCTGCGACACGCCTTGATTGAATATGCAAAGGGACCGTGAGCTGGCAGATGCGTTTGTCAAACGCTGCGCTAAAACTTAGAGTTTTCAGGCAAGAAGCGACGAAAAGTAAAGCATACAATTCGGTCGTGATGATAGAAGAATGTGACAGAGACAGAGAGAAAGCAACAAKCAAAGATTTCATCGACGCATTCTTCATGAATGTTCAGGGACAATTGTTCTCGTCGCAATGAACAACGAAATTATTCCCGTTCCACAGTAATTTTCAATACAACGTACTGTACCGTACAGTACCGAGTGTCATATCGTTCATCCTCACAAGCAGACAGAAACTCCAAAACATCCTACAGTTCGGTACGGCAGAACGATTTTTTTCACGAGCCATCAAATCAAAATCAACTCTGGGATGGTTCACAAGTACGACTACCGTATCGTTGTGAGCAAAAGGGAATACTGTACGTACACAGGGAAACTTCAGCACCGGTATTTTGGTACTTTTTCTTACGTAACTTTTTACACGCATCTCCATAGATGATATGAAAATGAAAAATAAAAAAATACTTCCATTTTGATGAGACTACCAAGTGAAATCTCCTGTTGGTATATTGATTGATAATGTTCCTTCCAATAGAACTGGTAATTGTATGTCTTGTGATTGTTTCATTCTTGTCAGTCTTCTCATAGTGAAATTACTTCTGATTTCTTTYTTCTCTTCTTCTTCTTCTTGTTCTTTTTGTGCCAGCACCACATTGTTTGACCCACCAGTTTTATTGCAAAAACTGTCACCAAATGAAGTCTTAATTTTTTCATGATTTTTTCTTATCAACTAACAGTGATACTGGTTAGAGTATGATCTGTTGGAACTCAAAAGCTAAATGAGTTTGATATAAAAATGCAGGAATCCAACATTTAACAGGAAATGGCAACTAATTGGTTCCTTACCAATACAACACTTCCCCGTTCACATCCACAGTCATTCTCGAGAATGGTTAAAGAAACGCACACAAAGGACAAGAGTTCTGGCAGGATTCATAATGCACAGCCAAGTATGAATAATGAGCAAACCCGGTTGTAGGTATGAATATTTGTTACTATTTATTTCCTACATCCATCAAATCGTCTGCAGCTTGTCCAACAACATGAGCGACAATCACTGTGCAGTCGTCGGGCATTCCTGATAGGAAGACCGAAGTGTATCACAGAGCAAGCAAAAATGTTAGTGTCGAAAGTTAAATTATCTTTTCTATGCTAGCACACTGGCACATATACATACCACCACTCCACATGATATCATTGTCCTTTGCGAGCATTGCAAACGGTGAGTCCTTGGTATTATCGAGGCTGGCCTCGCGCGCTGCTTCACACAACTTCGTCGCCAGACTTCCTACTTTTTCGGACGAAAGCAACGTCAAGGAATTGCCACTTGCCCAACGTTTATCTCTGGCTGCTACATCACCCCCTCTTATGAGTCCAACTGACTGTTCCCATTCTAGTGCTATCTTAGCGACATCGTCGATATCCACGTTGTCGAATACTGTAACGAGGGAAAAAAAAACAAAAAAATTAACGCATTAGATAGAATACGGAAACCATATGCACCACAGTAGCGATTCAATCGACATCTTCGCGACGCAGCGTCGATACAGAGGTTTGATGACGTACATCCATCGGTCGCCATTATTATGATGTCTCCGCGCCGAAGATGGATCGAAGTAGTACAAGAGTCGTGTGCACTCTTAAATGATGTCTTGTCATCCTTGGTATCTTCTCCTGTCCAACCAAGCTGATATGGATGRTTGAACGAATGCAGTTGTTGCTGCGAAATAAAAGCCACCCGAAGGTCAGAGGTTCTCTCTGCTCGGGGGGTGATTCTATCACGCTTCAACGTCCCCGCGACATCGGAATCGATGTGTCGGAGGACGATGATACCGGAATCACCCAGATTGCTGAAATGCAATTGATGTCGGATGCAATCGAACAAGGCCACACATGCCGTGCTAGAACCAATAATATTCTCTGCTTTCACTCGTTCGTAGGCTTGCGATAGAATATCTCCGGGACTTATTACCCTCCGGAATTTTCCACCACCATTGTCTTTGTCTCTGTGACATGCCTCTAAAAGAATATTTTCGCATTCTTCCATGAGCTTCGTAGAAAATAGCCGAGGGTCAACCCCATACTGTCTCCAACTTCCCACACCATCCGCAACCCCAAAATATGTCACGTCCCGTAAGACTCGGTCTTTTTCGTCTTCCAAATGCACACGTGTGGAGAAATGAGCATCCTCGGACAAGGAACAATCAGTTGCCAGATCCTCTGGGCCATAATCTCTTCGGTTGAAGCCAACGCCATCGTGTGTCTTGAACGGGTGCGGCAATTCGGCTATGCCAAGGTTGGTGAATAGAGGTTTTTGCTGCAATGCCAAATGTGCGTGCATAAAGGTTGGTGGTTCTGCCATGCTTGTGTCACTACTCAGACCAACACGTTCTGAAATGTCGTTCAAATAGGCCTTTTTCCCTCCCTTGTCAGTTGCCGACAACCCATAATCGTTCATGTCTCGTGCTGTRATCAGACCTTCTACTTTCCCCTCGTCCGACAATATAGGTAAGCATTTGATTCCCAGCTTTGCCATGAGACTCCGACACATTCCGATTGTTTCCGAAGGTCTTGCATAAATGACTTGTGAAATAGGTGTCATGTAATCCTCCACAACGCTGTCCAAAATTTCCGTGTCGCTCAWACCGTCCTCCTTGAAACCCGCTGCCATCATTCGCAACAAATCTCGGGACGTCAACAGTCCTACAACACGTTGGTTGTCGTTTCCTTCTACCACCATCATGCCAGACAAACCGCCTTCGATAACTGTTGGGACCGCATCTCGAATCGTCGCATCTTGACTAATTATCGGATTCAACCAACGAAAGGAATGTTTTGCCTGTACGATTTCCATTATTTATTTCAATCCATTCAGATACCAAGTATATCACATGATCCCGTACATGTAGTAAAGACAAAAGATGTTATCAGAGAGACTTGAGTTGATTGCAATCGAAAGAATTAAATGGTTGGATACAAAAACATGGACTTACGTCTAATACTTCCCGAATAGGAACCTATCGTGTGTTTGGATTCGTTGCATTTCAGAAAAAGTGTTAGCGTGTTAGAACTGAGTGATAAAGAAAACAATATTCGAAACTCGATTCGTTCACAAAGCAATCCAAAATGTACTATGATTCTAGGCAAGCATTATAATTAGCACACAGACGCAGCTGATTGAAAACCAGCAAACTTACATCGTTCACTTTGCGCCGCTTGCTCTCGACTTCGTTTGGATCTATGATAGATTTCGATTTTCGCAGTTTGGGAGCATTGTTGTTCTTGTCGTCGTCATACTCTTCGTCTTCGGAAGAAGATTGTGTAGCAGAAGAAAAATGTCTGTGCCGATCGTGACGTTGTTTTATATTCAACTGCTGCTGCTGCTGCTGGGAACTTTCTGTGGCAATGGCTCGGATTGACAATGGTCGCCGCGGTTGTTGTTTCCAATAAAATGCATTATTTCCTGCCGAGCATCGGGGTGAGTGGGATATTCTGCGATCGCAGCTGTTCTCCGGCCTGCAAGAAATCACGGGAGCTGGATTGTTATGGCCCGCCAGAGTTCGCAAGGAATACCGGAGCTGTGCGATTCGGTTGGGAAAGAGGACAGAAGAAGAGACCATGACTCAATTCCAACCAGCTGAATGGTAAGTATTCTCTGCTCTTCGATACGACGGTTGGATTATGTTGTTATTCGATCGATTGAAACTCTTGCTTCGTTGTTCGAAACTGATCCGGTCTGTATAAGTAAGATGTAAACTTCCTGTTAACCGAATTGGGAACAGGAATAATAGTGTTAATTTCCTTTCGTTTTTGGCATTAGAAGCTTTGTTTTAGTTTTTGATTACATCTAACTGGACGACTTCCAGTGTGAAGCAACGAACAGATGTTTTGATTTGAGAATGCTGTACGTTACGTAAACTACGTACGATAACTTGTACGGTACTCGTACCGGACTAGATAGAATGAAAGATGAATCTTGCCGACAAGAAGGAATTCTCGACCTTGGATGGCGCCCTCGCCATATTTTGGCGCTGATGTTAGACGACGCAACGGGAACCTGGAATCGGACCTCATTCGGAACTCTTCCATTAAATTCAAAACGGTATCGGGCTGTACGRTGCGTACGATATGAATTTTGGTCTGCTACGGTACGTTACCCTGTCTCTCTAATCTCTATTTAGAAAGGTTTTCGGTTTTTGTCGATCAAGGATGAAAGTTTTCTGTAAACTCTAACCTTGTTGTACCACGATGTAAAATCGCKTCTCGTCGCATACTAACCTACTTACCATATGTACCATACATTTGTGTAAAGTACATATTACGTGTGCATGCGGCATGCCGCATGCCACACAACGTCGTCATCTCTGAAACAGACATCACTCATGACCATCAACTCCGACTCACTACGTGCCAATCATCACAGCTAACTTTCGAAACTTTCGTGTCATACAAGAAGCGGGCGCAGCTTTATCATACCGGTACGAGACTACGAGAGTACAAAACCATCAAAAAAATATGTATCGAAATCTCGAGGAAGAAATTCGAAATAACTTCGTACTACCGTAAACAATAATAAARCGACGCAACACGTCCATATCACTTCGAAAGTCATCTCCGTTACGTCGCAAAGAAGCGTGTTCCTTCTCAATTGATTCGTAGGATTAATATGAGAAGCATGATGCCACTAAGACGTTTCACTTGTGAGACGCATCCAACCGCTCGTAGCACAAGGAGACTAAGTTCTAAAACAACAACCGAAGATGTTGCCTCCTGCAGCAACTCCGGAACATACAAAACCCATCGTTGCTGGGGCRGTCGTCGAGGGCAATGTGTGTTTGATACCAGCGATAGATTGAAAGCAAATATTGTTCGATTTCTATTGCTGTGCTACTGCATAATGAACCATAATATACAGTACTCCACCGCGCTAATACGAAATGTACAAATACAGCACGGCACTCCTTCGATCGCACACACTTACCATCAAAAATTAAGAAGATCTTCMAGGATAGTATTGCCGATGTCCACCGTAAAAATCGGGGGGAATGATCATGTGGACAATGTGGGAAAGAAGGTTACTCGCAATTCGCGGATTGTTTCTTCGAACAATATATCGTTCACTTCTTCCGTAAAGAACCTTTACAAACCTTCTGGTCGTGTCTACGTCAAGAATCGTCGAAATTCCTTAGTCCAGGATATGCGAGACTATGAAGAACAACAACGAACGCAGCTGGACTGGATTGTTCGAAACACCGCCAAGGTTTTGGGGGAAGATGCTCCACGTACGTTCGCTGTGCACTGTGTGTTTTCTTGTTCTTGTGAAATCCTYATCYAAACTTTTATTCCTTTTTCACGATGGATTTGATCTGTATTTTAGCTCATGGGGTAAGCTAATTTTGTCAAAACTTGATGCAGATTTAATGCGCTGAATCATACTTTGTGCTGCAATGTGCTTTGATGTGTCCTTCGTATAGATTCAAAATTTTGACCTTTCCCTACATTGATTCTATTGTTTGATGTAACAACAGGAAATGACTCCCCAATTGATTAGAATCACGCATAGCCTAATACGAGCATGGGCTCAACGAGCAGCAGACATCCAATCATCCAATGCCCCTCATGTAGTCGAAAAACTGTTGAAACGACTTCTGACAGAAAAGAAGGCTATCGAGACCAACAGSGACGACGGGGCAGATAATGAAAACTACCGAATCGAAATCTCTACAGACGAATACAACTACTTGTTGGAAGCATGGTCGTGTTCAAAAGAAACTGGATCTGCAGATCGAGCGGAAGAGATTCTGTTGCAAATGGAAAAAGAGGATGGACCCAAGCCCGATAGTCGGTCTTACAATGCCGTCATCAAAGCTTTGGTAAAGAATGGTAATCGTCAGTCGGCCGCTAGCAAGGTGGAAGACTTAGTCATGAAAATGGAATCAACAGGAGACCTTGGTGTCATGCCCAATCGACGATCGTATAATTTTTTGCTCTATGCACTCGCGAATTCCAACCTTGACGATGCCGCTGAACGAGCAACGCGGCATCTCGAACGCATGATCCTTCGCTATCACAGCAACACTCCGGAAGAAAATAGCATTTGTCAGATCCAACCAGATCTAAATTCTTTCAACCAGGTTATTGGAGCTTGGGCAAGAGGGAAATCACCGAACTATTTGATTGAGATGCAAAAAACATACAATTTGTTTTTAGAGCTCTCGACTGAATATGGTATCCAACCAGATGTCGATACGTACAATAACCTGATGGGGGGATGGCTTAAAAGCAATGATAAGAAAGCATTAAGAGAAATTCAACAACTTTTTTCTACGATGGAGGAGAGTTACAAAAAGGGGAACGAACTGGCTCAACCAGATCGAGTGTCTGTCAATTCGCTCCAAACAGCTTTCAACAAATTCTCCGGGGGTAGCAACGCTACCAAGCAGATTGAATTAGAAACTGAATATGGACTGCCTCCMAACTCTCACAGCCAAAATATTCTAATGGGAAGTATTATTAAGAGTGGCGTTGACGATGCGCCCGAACGAGCATTGAGAATCCTGATAGAAATGGAGAACAACTTGAGAAGTGGCGAGAGCTCACTAAAGCCAGATGTGTGCAGTTACATTGCTGTTATCAAAGCACACGTGAAATATAAGAGAAAGAATACCGAGAGGAGAACAGAAGAGCTATTGAATCGCATGTGGGATTTGAACCGAAAACACGGCGGAGTCGCACCAGACGTGGCTCTATATAACTGTGTTCTAAACGCGTACGCATCCATCAATTCGTACCGRGTGTTGAGAAAGGTTAAAGACCTTTTGAAAAAAATGGAAAACGGAGAGATAGACGGACTTCCAAAACCCAACTTGATTACTTACAACACAGTGATAAAAGCTATGAGAAACGGAAACAAAGAGAAGGAAGCTATCTTTGCCGAACAAATTTTGTCAAAACTAGAACGTCTGAGCAAAGACGATCCGGAGTTATTGCCAGACAACTACTCATACACCTCGGTTATCACTGCGTACGCGCGTTCTAGCTTGTCAAACAAAGCAGACAAGGCTCTAGAGATTATACAACGCATGAGAAAAGCCCAGATAAATGGCAATGGATCTGCGGTCATGTCCGCACATACCTTCAATGCAGCACTCAATGCATGCGCCTTTGTGAAAGGCTGTGTGGAAGCTAAGGCAAGAGCATTTGAAACCGCCACTAAGCTTGACAAACTGCGAATGGAATCTGGACAAGCAGGCGACAGCACGTGGTACGGTACGATGTTGCGAGCATGCTCGTCGTTGATTGCGCCGTCCAAATATAGAGAGGACATGGTAGACCTCTTCTTTCGGGAGGCATGTGATAACGGTTGTGTTGGGATTCTCGTATTACAGCAGCTAACGTTTGCGGCCACAAAAGACCAGCAAGAGCGCTTGTTGAATCACAAGTTCGATGGGGAAGATTACATAGGTATGCTGAAGAAACTGCCRAAGGAATGGACGTGCAATGCACATGAATGGCAGCCACATCATCTTCGATAAACTGGAAGATTCATTTTTTGGAATTGCACCGTACCGTATGTGTAAACTAGACCACTMATTTTAGGATTATTGTACACAATAGGTTTCGTTTCAGAAGGAAAGYGTTCTGATTAGTATTGTAGTTCGTTAAAAGTTGCTACTTTCGACCGAAATTTAGATTGCAATCACCGGAGCAGAAGGAAATGATATTGTTATCGCTTCGATGATCATCCCACACAGAGGCAAATGAAGAWCAATAGCGGGTGCACTTCATCACATAWGACTCTCCTCGTCAGGGCTATCTAGCACTWTGTTGTCTTCCTATAGCGATATTCAATGGTATAGACTCCAGATTAGTCTCCKTGGTTTCTATTGAAAAAGATGTTGTTCGAACCAATCGAAGACACCCAGCTTATCTGCTCCTTGTTCGAGTATCAGAGTTCCTGCGGCTTTCCACATGGATCCCAATGGAATTTTCCCAAGAGGAACTGTTAGCGCGCATCAATGTGTTGGCGAAAAACGAAAGAGGAATAATATTGGGTTAAGGTCATGCTTTGGTAACAATTTATTTCACTTCAAAGGTTTTCAAAGTTGAAGCAGTCGAGACTTACCCATTGGCTTCGTTAGTAGATCTTGTTGCTCACCCCCGTAACGTTGTTTCCACACCATCACGGGAGGCAGTACTAAGAAGAGGGTGCTAACACCGAAGGCACCTCCATAATCCAATGCGGTGAAGAAAATGTCTGGATCCGTGAGAGACAGAGCCAGGGGTGGTAAAAAGACCAGTCCAAACAAAGGTGCCTTCCACTTTTCGTACGTAGGTCCTTCGGTTGGCAAATTGAAGACGTCCGTCCATGCGTCCAAGAGGCCGTACACGAATCCGATAAGGCTAGTTACAACGGCCAGAGATGAAAACGTGGTGACGAGTTTGGCTAGGATGGCACCAGTACCGCCCGACGAGGCCGATGCTTKGAGAAGTGCAACGGGATCTACTACCCCAGCGGCACTCGCTTCWGGGCTGACGTTGCTGAGTACRACTGCGTTCCACAAAAGAAACATMACCGTGGGTACAGAGGTTCCGTATAGGATAGCCTTCGTAATTTTCGAGCGGTCTCCTTCCAGTTGGTTGACAACGGTGGGAACAACGTTGTGGTAGACCAGGGACAGAAATATAATTGGGAGAGCATCTACAACCTGGTCGGGGTGCTGATTCGCGGGATCGATGAGGGCATGGAAGTCAGCTGTACTGGCTCCACACGCAATGATCCCCAGAAAGACGACCGCCAAAACAGACACGAACAGATTGTTTGCGGCTTCGATCGCGGCGGGTTTCGCCAGATACAATCCCGTTGCCGCTGTTGTGGCAAAGGCTACCTGTGGAACACCCGCAGGAAGGCCCATGGCGTCAAATCCCAGCAACGCGTTGAGATTGGAGCCTCCCTGTGCTATGTAGGCGACAAGCAAGCAGTAGTGCAGTCCAAAATATGCGGCGCTTCCGACTTTGGACCACTTGTCCCCTAGAGAATCTTCATAAAGATCAAGCATCCCCTGCCCCGGCAGGCCGCTTTGTCCCATTCGATTGATGGAAAGTTCCGCAATTAGCAAACCTGACATCGTCATGTACAACCACCCGATTCCCATGGCTCCAGTAGAAGGGATGAAACCTACGTCTGCCGTTGCTGCCGGGAGCGCGAGGATTCCGGCTCCAACCATCGTGCCTGCCACCAAACTCGCACCACCAAAGACCGAACCCGCATCGTGAGATGCGGTGGTGCTCCCGTCGTCGCTGCGATCGTATTTCAGCGAGGAGAAGACCCTCGWTACCTCCCCGGTTTCGTATTCTGGATAGATGATTCGGGATTCCTCGACGCGACCGATCTTTTCCGAAATCTTGTCCGTGATGTCGGCGGTCCAAAAAACCGAGGAAATTTTGTCCCCGTGTTCAGTTTCGGCTTCTTCTGTCGACGATGGRTCGTCCATCACCTCTGAAGAAATATCCTCCTGGAACGTGGCTTGTAGCACGTGYGTTCCCGGGACTTTCCTGTTCCTGTTGTCATTCATCTTGTGAAAAGACGAGACAGATTTGCAAGTTCCCGAAGGAGACACGAAAGCATCTACCATAAGCTCTGTCTCGAGGAACAAAGACTGAATGAGGACAAAACAAGACACAGTTGCGACAATCATCGTTCTCCTTCGTTTTGGTCTACCGCTTTTGCCAAGCGGATTCTTTAAGTGACTATCGCTGACGATATTTGGATTCAACATGTCAGATGTGTTGTRCTTGCTTCCTTTTGATTTTGTAATAGGATGTGTAGATACGTTCCGTATAGAGTTCCGATTACCGAATTGTTGGGTGAAGAGAGAGAAAGAATACCGATGGCTACGAAGAAGAAGATTCGACACGAAGAAACCAGCGAAGTTCGTCTTTGTGCTATGAATAGATGATGCACCCAGATGCTTCACTGACTTCGGTAGCAAAATCCAATATTTTTGCCGTTGTTACCCTACAGGACTGTAGTGTCCCGTATTGTTTTCGCGGGAACGATGGATGACGACGAATCTTCTTTCGTGGTTTTTACAGCCCCCGTGGTATTGCGTCCCGTATCGAACCTTTTCTCACGCTTCAACGCAGCATCCAGACTTTGTACCGGTAAAAAGAAAAGTGGCGATTGATGATGCAATCATGCCGCACGTATGATGACGCAGACTCGAAAACTCACGAACAAGASTTAAGCCGGTTCCACACGTCACATGGTGAAAAAAGTGACTCGATTGACTACGATTAGTTCACAGCATGGGTCTGGAAGAAGTTCAATTCCTTCGTCATAGTCACCTTTCAGCTTCCAGCTTCGATAGTGTTTTTTTTCCTCCWTACGGTACGTACGTACCGTACGTTGCACACATTGGGTGAGATTCCCTTCAATTTAGATGGACTAGAATTCAGAGACAGACCAAAAAATTGGGTCTAGATTGACTACTAAATCTAGTCAATTCAGAAGAACCCTCAGGTCTTCTTTCTAGAAAGTCTAGATTTAGGCTGGCATCCTAGAAAAAAAAATCAGTCCTACATGTTTTCCTTGCTGTAGTAGCCAAGAACACCAGCAGCAACAAGAAGAAGAAGAAGAAGAAGAAGAAGAAGCGGCCACCCCCAACACTCTTCTTTATAGACGACACCATACTAATGTAACTACTACTAGTAGTAGGAGTAGTATTAAAGATTCTAAATTCCAAAAAAACTTGTGACAGCATCAAGAATCCACCAGCACCTGTACATTTTGTCTTGTCTTCTAGATTTTCTAAAATAGCCATTTTACTTCCTCTGCTGTTCTTCCCCTGCAGTCACCATGATGTGTCATTGTGTCCCTGCCTCTTTTGATTTTCCTGAATATTTGTCATTGGTACTATATGGAGGAATGTCTACAATCAATACCAACAGTAACTTATGTTGCTAACACTAGTACTAATACTTCTCTCATTCTAACTTGTCATTTGTTACTACTACTACTACTACTACTACTATTGTTATCACTACTAGTATTTTTGTAGTAGAGCTTCTTCTTCTGCCACAGCAACATTTTTAAAAAGAATTTTCTGCCCAGCAATAATGCAACTAGGATAAAAAAAAATTGAGATTTGGATTGTACATTGACGCAAGAGACTCACTTTTCCCATATGTGGTAGCTTCTTGTAATTGTTATCACCTACAACACCAAGTGATGCTTCCATCATACAAGTCTGAAGGGATAAAAAGAATACATTATTCAACCTCTCGTGCTTAGTACATTCATCAAATGCTTTCTTAACATTTTTTATCAAATTATTAATGTTTTTTTATCTCCTTTTCTTGTAGTACTACAAACTTTAGATTGAATGAAGAATCCAAGATCAAGTACATTYGTATCAGCAGGTTGAATTGCAACAGAGATGTTCCAACCTTTTGTTGCTGCTGTAGCAGCTGCAACTGTATCCCTAGTACATGCCTTGTGGGGTTTTGTGTCATCTTCTTGGATAATAATTTCAGGACAGACCTACTCCTTGTGGCCACTTTGCATAGTAGTAGATTCTTGCAGGCAGCACCTTATCTAGCAACATATTTTTGTATACTTCCTCCTCTGTTCCCTGCCTATATGTGTCCCACAAGGACCTTTACTACTGGAAAAAGCTCAATACTTGGGCAATTGGAATGCTTTTTTGTACTTATTAGATCCAAAGAATTTGTTTACAGTTATGTTGATTGCATTAGTGGTTGGGCACTCATATATTCTAGAGCTATTCAAATAGGGCCTCTTTTGGAATGYATCTTACATTTTACTGCTGGTTGAAAGGGTTCTACTGRACATTTAATACTAACACAACTAACAGCTATTAGAAATGCCAAGAGGAGTGGCAGCTTTGTTATCATGCTATTCTTATCACATTCATCAAGAATGTTCTGATGGAGTCATAGTGCTGGGTCACTAGAGGAGCCAAATATTGCTTGGGTGTCTGCAGTTTTCATTTGGTTTCTTAAATCTTTGAGCAGGAGAGAGTGCTGAAGTGAGTTTCTAGTACTAATTGCACATCATCCTACACAGTACTAGGCCCAATGCCAATGAAACATATTTAGGAAAATCAAAATGAGGACACAATGACACATATGGTGAGAACAGAGGAAGTACATCACAATTCACATTCACAGGCTTTGTCACAAGAGTACCAGCTGGGCCAATTGATAGAACAGTGCTGAGCTACTAGTTTCTTCTCARCAAACCGCTAAATTCCAAGCTTTCTGTCAAACCAAGCATGCCTGTTTGTATTCCAGTGTGGCCAAGCAGTTGCATACAAAAACATGACCTTTGTCATATGATTCTTAGACTTTGTTGTTGGATTTGGCTCAGCTTCATCAGGAACCAGATATGTAGTTTTTGTGGTCCTCTTCAAATTTTTCAGTATGAATCCATTTRAACCAGTCATAGAATCTTCCATTCTCATCAATATGGCTCAGTATATGGATCCCCTATTAGTAGTGGAAGCACATTGCTGGCGCTTCCCCCCCCCCTGTTACTAGTTGAGGCTAGTCTTCCCCCTTGTTAATGGAGGCAACAGAGATACAAGGCACGTAGTTGTTGATGTTTCCCCCTGTTAGTGCTGGAAGCAATGGAGACATGCTCCCCCTTCCCCTTTTACTGCTGGAAGCAAAGGAGACATGATGCATGTCTTCCCCTGCCCCCCTGGTAGCAGACGAGGGTAAGGGAGACCTATGTGCCAGTGGGTCAATGGATAAACTATTAATGCAGGCACCAGGTGCCAGCAGCAAGTTAATGGATCCTCCTCTATTTATGGATGTGCTTGTTCTTTCTGTTGTATCATTACAGGACTATTGTTCATCGTTGTASTTGTATTATGATGGGAGTGAACTGAAGATTTGTTGTTCCTTGTGTTACTAGTGCTAATAGTAGTACATAATAACAAGAAGGACACTAGACAAGAAGTGCCATAAAACAGGATATTATTCCAAGAACCAATGCATCACAAATGGAAACTGTCTTTTCAATCTCCTGTGACCTATACTACAACTACTAAAGGGTTACTACTGTGAGTACTATTAGTAGTAGTACTGTTGGCAACAAGGAGTTATGTGTATTACTAGTTGTACTACTAGTAGTAGTAGTATAGCTAGTTGTACTACCTAAATCCTCAATAACACCAACAAGAATTGTATTCTTTGCATCATATGATGCCAAACTGCAGGCCTGCTTTGAGTAGTTTGGGGGAGGAGGGGGAGGGAGGACAGATGCAATACACTTCCTTTTGTTGTTGTTGTTGTCGTTGTCGTTGTCGTTGTCGTCGTTGTTGTTGTTGTTGTTGTTGTTGTTGTTGTTGATGTTGATGTTGATGTTGATGTTGATGTTGTTTTTGTTTTTGTTTTTGGTGCTACAAAGGCCATGATTGTCAATGAGGCTATTAGTAACAACCAATGCGTCATGCCATTTTCATTAGTACTACTAGTACTATTATCTACTAGTAGTATCTACATAGTACATTTGTGATCCTTCTTATGGTGAATGAATTGATTTAAAAGAAATACATTTGTGCACACTGCTGTGCAAAATCACCACCACCAATGTGTGCTAGTAGTAGTGCTACTAGTAGCAGTACTAGCAGTTTTACATATTGTTCTAGTACTACTATTAGAGTATTGGTTGAACTTCAATGAGTTGTGTCAATAATTGGAAGAAATGAAAACTAGTTAAACCCTTCGTCCTTCTACTTTTGAACAAGCGTGGTATGTAGGTAAGATAATTGTTGTTACTAGTAGTACCAGTGTTGTTATGCTTTGATTGGGTCATTCTCATTAATCTAGATGATCTACTTTTTGACAGACAGACAGACAGACAGACCAAAAATAGACCATACAGTCCAAATTTTTATACTTTCAGTCAACACACAATCCATCCTTGACAGAGGATCTAAATCTAGTCCCAAATCCAACAATAAAAATCTAATCCAAGAACGAAAATCTTACTGCACTTTGTATTCAAAAAGCAGGCGCCCTTTTTCAGTCTCAAGTGGATTCCAAATTCCATTCTTTGGACTACTAGAAGAACRCCTAAAAAATGTCCGTTGAGACCCGGTTTTCAATGATTCCCATTGAACTAAAAAGTCTCAAGTAGACCGTTTAGACTTTTAGACCATCTAGATTGATGGGAATGACCCATTGTGACACCACTTCTAGTTCTAGTAGTACGAACCAAACCAACTAGCAATGAATTTCATGCATGTCCCTTGGGAATGTATACTATCTGTCCGGTATCCATGGCTGAGGTCATTGAGATCTTTGAAAATATTTTTGGTAAAAATTTAACAAATAAAAAGTAAATTATGATCTAAGATGACAGGTACACAATGTTTATTCGCAATTGCCGTGTCTCCTCGATTGATGTTTCCGACATTTTCAGGCATCTTCGTAGGAGACTATTACGGATCTTCCGCTCCGAAGTTTATACAAGTTGTTGCCTATTGTCTTTGTCTCCGGCGTTCACGGTGAGATCGAAGACACCGCTACTTTCTTTCTTGCGTCTGGATCGTGAGGAAGAACGTCCCCTGCTGCGACTTTTCTTGGTTTCAGATGGACGGGAACGACTGCGACTGCCTTCTCGGCCTGCGGCAGATTTGCTTCTGCGACGAGACTTGCTTCTCGATCTCGAGGACCGTCGACTAGATTTGGAACGACGGGATGAACCGTCAAGCATTTTCTCGTTGAGCGAAGCATTTTTTGTCTTCCTTCTCTTCTTCTTCCTCTTGCGGGAAAGGTCGCGGAAGAAGAAACCAAGATAACTTTCACCACGTCTTCTCTTCTTTCGTGCACGAGCCAAGAAGATTGAAATCGATAGAGTGACAGCCATGAAAACGACCAACATAACAGAAAACTGACCAACTGTACCGAGGGCATCCCACGCAACAGCTGAAGCCTTGGGCTTGTATCTTTTGCGGAAGCACTTATCAAGATGGAAGTTGTGGGGCTCATCACATCCACCAGCCCACGTTGGGGCAGGCGAGAAGGTTGGAGGCATCGAGGCACCGTTATATTCGACCCAAGAACCTCCTAGATCAGGTTTGAATACCTCATAAACATCAATTCGATTCAAGAAGAGTGCCATACATCCTCCATCWGGGCAGAAACTTGTTGTTCCRACGGCTACACCTGACGGATAGAGAGAACGCCAATAATCGACGTAATTGTTACAACGCTCCAAGTAGGCAGCAGCCAAGTCTTCCGAACCGAATTCTGGTTGGTAAGCTAGAGTCATTTGAGGACAGAAACCGCCTTGGTTTGTTCCGTCAGGTCCGCATCCGTACGCGGCACGATCATCMGCACCGTGCATGGCGCAGTTGCTGTAAACTCCGTAGCTATTTTCCGGTGACTCGTAGTTCCATGAAATACCCATTTCTTTACAAAAACTATCATATAGGTAAGCCAAAGCCGAGCTTGTGTCTGCTTCAAATTGCAGTTTCACGTGTCCATCTCCATCGACAAATACGAAGGCTGGCTTGATGTAAAGAGTACCAAAGTCGATTTTCCTTGCAATCTTGATCATGTCACTAAGTGACATTCCTCCCTAAATATACAGGGTGAAYAGTCAGAACAAATGTTCGATGTCAGYTTTACGATCGATGCATCCCAYAAGGTCCYTYCGTACAAATCTCGAGAAACTTCAAACTTACTAAATTTGGATTTGTTGTCCCGGCGTAGAATATGGGGATGTGTGCTGTGTCCTTGTCAACRATAGAACCTACAGCATTACCAAGTTCTTCTCCGACTAACCAACCGTGATTAGTTCCAAAAGATTGGACGTAAGTACCGTTRCGATCGACGAGGTATTCGAAATCAAATTGCTCTTGAAACGAGCTGGATGATTGAAGTTTTGAGTCAGAAGYTCGAGATAGTGGAATYCCGAAAAATGTTTCACCCTCTTGAAGACAATTGGGGGGCAAGTTCCAACCATCAGTCATATCGTGCTTGGCCATTTGCGCATTGAATCCGTAGGGGTTGTGTTCGTACTCATCATCGCCATCATCGTGCGAACCACTGTAATCAAAGTCGAYTTCAGTTACACTTGCGTAGAAGTCCGAGACATCAGAGCCCATGTACAGCGTTGCATAGTATTCTTCATTGCTGGTGAGATCTCGGTTGGGAGAAAATGCTTTCGTGATGTTGGCTCGATCAAAAAAGAAGTATAGRTTACCATAACCAACCTGCTGTTTCGATCCGTKACGACCAGGGGGGAAAGCAGCATATCCGGATGACCCGATGGGAGTTCCATAAGGATACATAGCCTGCCAAACAGCAATTTCCAAGTTGGTTTGGTACATATACTGGTTKTTATGGTAAGAAGACCAGAACTTRACACCGCGCGACATAGAAACGTGGGGATCGGTATCATGATCGTCCATACATGGACCTCCGCCGTTGGCATCCAAGGCATCAAACAAATCATCCAAAAAATACTCGTAAGCTGAATACGAATTGTCATCCTCGTAGGTTTCAACAACAGAAACAATCATGGTAACATCACCGGATGGAACTTCGTCGYCACCATCATCTCCAGAATGGTGGCCACCGCCACCTTTGAGATATTCGGGGAAAATGGAAAACGGAGGGAAAGTAATCGAAGTCATGGCTTCGTAGACTTGATCGATCGAAGTACCTCCCTTATCAGGATCGAGATTACCAATACGAAGTAATTCTGTRTGGGAAGAGTCGATGTATCTTTATTCGCAGAACATCGYATAGGRTTTAACGGGGRAAAAGACGCAATGAAAATCAGAAGGTCGTCAGGGACCATCTKTCGTGAAGAATTTGATACAAATAAGACCTCTACATGTGCCAGTCAGCAMATCTCACTTACGGCATTTTCCCAGAATAGTCAAAGGTTTTGTAACCTCCTCCGACAAGCCAACCATCTTCGTCCATACTCATAACATAATCGTAATCACGATCGATGATGTTTTCCATGGGAAATTGATCGCAGAGCTGATAGGAGTAGGGATTACTGCTCGCTGTGTTCACACTGAAGGAGATTCCAATGAAGGAAAGACCGTCTTGGGAGCAATCCTCGTCTCCGGAATCGTGCGAGGGGGTTTCTCCRGACTCGCAATCGTTTCCGTACAATGCACACATRTCAGCAGCGTAATAGTTCTGGTAGTCATAACAACATCCCGTCAACTGAGACGAAAGTTTCCTTCCATGTTCGTCGTATTCTTCAACACTACTGCTTGAATCTTCGGAAGGTTGGCCATTGCCCAACGCATCTGCTTGGGGAAACAATGGAACATCTCCTTTCAGTTTTCGAAGACCATTTTGTTCCTTGGCGGAATCCTCCATTCGTGGGTAATTTCGCTCCCAGGGTGCCTTTCGTTGTTCGGCATCTGCTGCATTTGTTCTGCGCTGTTGCTTCTTTTCTTGGGCTTGGAAACGAGGTCTCTGATCGAGTTTGCGTGGTTGCTTTTCCCTGTTTTCCATTATTCTAGTCGAGTCCTCCTCGATCTTCACGGAACGATAGGATTGCCCCTCGATGGGGCGTCCATTGTCGTGAAATCGATTTGATTTTCCAGAGTCGTGCCKTGCCTTCACAACTCGGGAGCGATCCGCCAATTTGGAATCTACGCCCGTCAATGAGATGACACCGTAGACCACTAGTAGCGGAACCGCTGATAATATTGAGCTCTTCATTGTAATCTATATCTACTACAGTTTACTTGTTTCCAATGCGGATACTACACGTTGACAGATTTTTTCCACCAAGCCAGTCGAAATGATTGTCGAGTTGTAATGCTTCACTCTCTCTCTCTCTCTCTCGTTTTCTCTTTGTCCTCCTCAATAAAATCTATAATCGCTGGAGCTTTGGTCTTCAAACTAAGTTTATTGCCTGGCCAATGTTGTTGTTGTTGTTTACGCCAGATGAAATTTAAGGAACAAGGTGAGTACGGTACCGTACTCCGAACGGTCAACAAAATAAAAATAGATACAGCAMGTACCGTACTAGTCCTGTAACTGTTCGTACTMTTGCCAYAGGCCGTTTGAACRCAAAGCGTGCTGGAGGTAGTACATGTCCCAAAATTTTCTCAAGTGAGCGCATTTCCGCTGTTTCAAGTCGTTGCGGGCGCAAAAACAGCACGACTTTCTCGCTTTCTGGCGATTTATAAGTTTGAAATCATGGGTGTATCGGATTCACTCCGAAAATGACGTGCATATAGTRGAATACCGTTGGTCCATTCAGTGGAAAAACGGTTGGTTTTTTTGAATTAACCGATCGAAGTGCGAGCCTGTCGCGCCGAGTCATGTCTTTGTGGGACTGAGGTTCTGGTCACGGTCCGTACGTCATGCATATCTTTTCGACAAGGCAGCACGTCCTTGAACAAACTTCCATTAACCGTACATACCGTACGTATGCTGAGAATGTTAGTACTAGGAGCAAATACAGAACATACGTACGTACGCGTTATGTAATACCAGTAAAAAATAATCATGCAAGTAGATTTACAGTATCATACACTAGTACCGTACTGTAATGTACTTAGTTCGAGTACTGGGTTAACAGTTCACACCACTGCAGTGCTGTAYCGTAGTATGGTACTCGTACTCGTACTTCACAGATGTGCGCTGCAAAGCATTGCTCGGTGCCAAGTACAGCACCTTACGCACCGGCACAAGTACCGGTACCCAGTACCTGTTGGAAACCAGAGAATCTTGGAGGGTGGTCATTTTTGAATGAAATTTCGGACCGTACAGTTTCTKAAGACCAGGATTGGTTTTCCCCTGTGCCGCGCATTATCAATTCTTGTCCCAGTACAAGGCATTACTACTACTTGTTCCCCGGAGATTGGTGCTAACGAGTGAAGCGAAGACAATAACAAYAGATAACCATGGCGAAAAAACGTGCTGCTGGATCCGATCCTGAAGAGGAGGACGACGACCAAGTCATGAATGGTGACCACAACGACGAGGACGAAGGCGGCGATGGAGGCAGTGGTAGCGACGACGAAGAGATGCAGGAGGTAGAGGAAGATGACGTGGAAGAAATATCGACCGCGTCTTCTCCTTCGCCTCAGAAACGAAAGGACATGACTCTGCGATCGGGAAGGAGGAAACGGCGCCGATCCCTGCAGACGACTGGTTTGACGCCTCCTCCGGAGTCGCGCAAGAAATCGAAACGATCGAGAACGTCGGCGAAGACTAGTACAATCAAAAAGCAGCAAACCGCGGCATCCCTCACAAAGCCCACTRCATCGAATGGAGACCAAAAGCAACCGGCTTTGTCTGATCGTGCTAGCCCGGAAATCGCTCCCGACCCAAGAAGAATTTCATACGCGAACGCATCTGTCATCCCATCCAACATTCACGAAGAACGCTCSGATGAAGTATCTGAAAATGGGGATGATTCGGAAGAACTCAATATTCTTCCTCCTAAATTTGGAGTGCAAGCTAACGGCACGGCCAAAAACGACGTGAGCGGCGAGGAAGATGAACAATCCGCACCGCACGACGAAAGCATCCCATGTGCGAACGGTGAAGCCGAACACCACGAAGCCGATGCGGACGAACAAGATGAAGCCAGCAAGCAACCAGTCACCGAAGAAATAGATGCGGGAGAAAGAGAAAAGGTTGGCGAAATAACCGGAGAAGATTCGTTCATTGAAACGAAATCAACTTCGATTGGTGTATCAATATTAGAGCGACTCGTAATCTTTGTGATTCTTGGGTTCGTGTCTCTTCTGCTAACCATGCCGGAAGTCATAAAGTTGGCCGAGATTGYGGTACCTCTGGATGAATCTTTGCTCCCTGAAGCTAAATCGCTGCCAGAGATAAAGATACCGAATGATGATGATGCAGTTGATTCAGAAGTAGAAATGTCATCGGARGAGCTACAGTCCTGGAACAAAAAGTTCTTGAACAATTTTCAGAGATTGTCGAGAGCGAAGACGGCGTACAGGGTGTCATACGAAAATTTCGATGAACTCTACACAGAATCTATAAAGGAGATCGACCAGCTAGAAGAAGAACTCCAAACTAGACAAGAGCTCGCTGGAAAGAGGTTGGTAAATTTGAACCGTTTGAAAAAAAATTTAAGGGAAAAACAAGGAAAGGATAACTTTGAAGAAATTCGAGATTTGGCCCAACAACTTTTGGGGAAATCTGTCATTGAAACCTCGTCTATTCCTCTCTGGAACGTTTCCAAAGATCTAGACGMAAATTGTACTTCAGTAAATGTTCGCGGCGATCTCGACGATGAGGACGAGGACGAGGATGCCGAAGAAATGGAAACAGAAAGCAAGCCACTTCTGACCGCCAAACTTTTGGAGGACAGCGAAGAAAATCTCTCAATGCAATCGATGATTACGGCAGACAAGTTCATTGGCGGGAMTGTTGCCACAGATAGGATCCGCAATTGGGTCAAGTCGAAAATAGTAAAGGCTGTCGAAGAGGATGAGGACATACAAGGTGTTATGGAAGAAATTGATGAGTTCGCGCTTCAGCTGACTGAAATAGCAGCGAAAAGAGGTAAAACAGATGGTGGCAACAGTGGCACTCCCTATTTGGATCTCCTGTTGGGTGGAATTATCGAAGATAGCTTGGAAGTTCATCGAGCCGATATTACCGGAATCTTCGATCATGCCACTCTCACGAATGGAGCCGAAGTRATTTATGGAGGAAAAAGGGGCACATCCAAGTCACTGGTCGACAGCTTACCGATCGTCAATAGGATACTCCAAGCATCAAATCTTCGCTTTTATGGATTCGGTCCCGAGGCCGCACTGACGCCTACCTACCCTCCAAACACACCGGGTCAGTGCTGGGCAYTGCGACAAACTCCTCTGAAAGAATTGCTGAAGGAGAGAGAACTCTTCGAAAAATTTGTTGAGGTTCCGGACGACTTCAAACGGGGTAATTTTGGAACACTTACCATTCGATTGGACTCGCCTGTCATCGTCGAAAGTGTCGTTATTGAGCATCCACCTAGACAGTTTTCAAAACAAATGACCAGTGCGATTCGGTCCTTTCGGGTAGTAGGATACGAAGACGATATGGCTTCTTCCAAAGCATGGAATCTGGGTGCGTTTGAATACAACATCAACGATAATCTAGARCAAAATGAGTACCTGCAAGAATTTGACGTTGCTTCCACGGTCTTTGGGAAAGAGATACCGCCTCTGCAGTCGATAAGTCTTGCRATAGACTCCAACTATGGCCATACATACACTTGCCTTTACCGATTCCGAGTTCACGGAAGAACAGAGGAATAGATTGARACAAAATAATAATAAATTGGCTTCACGGTTGTTTTTTTTTTAATCTGCTACGGTATACCGCACGACTAGAATGCAATTATACTAGTTCAAGGTTACATATTAAAATTATGATGAATTATTCAACAACAGAAATCTCTCTCCTGCCGTAGATTAAGAGTCCCCTCCCCATCTCGACTTTCCGCATTTCTTATAGTGGAAGCCGGCGACATCTGTGAATCAATCCAGAACCATGCATGAAATGCTTCCTTGCTATCGAAGTGCATAAATCTATTTCGAAGCAAACAAGTTCTTCAAAAACCGCTCGAGGTTCACTGCACAATGCACGTAAGTACTGGCTTCGAGGTTGTACAGCTTGCAGTTGTTGACCATYAGCATCAAGTCGGCATAGAGCATTTTTTTTGATTTGTAATGATCACCCTTCCGGATGCGCTTATCGATCGTTTGGAGATCAATGGGTTGCTTGATGATATCGAGATAGTCCTTGACCTCGTTGGTATCCACCGGTTCTCGAAACGGCCACGAGAACTGTTGCTCTTCTACTTTTCGAACTATCGCAAGCAGCTCGCTTTTCAACTGATTCTTGGCTCGGTCCAGATCCTTGCCCTGCCCGGTCGCCGCCATCAAATCAGCCATGGTCCATCCGGCCTCTATCATTCCGGGAACAGCCAGGGCACGCGCAGCTGCCTCATTGCCCCTGGAAGCCCCTTCCAGCTTGGGCTTCCAGTTCTTCGGAAGTGGGTCGTAGACAACTTTGTGGGATTGTGCCTTGAGGCGGATGCGACTCAAGATGAATTCGCGCTGGGCGGCCAGCATTTCCGGAATGCGGGTAAAGTCGATGGAGGGATGGACGTAGCATTCCATCATKGTGCCGCCGTCGTATTCTTTGATGAGACCTTGGTACCGCCCCTTGGGCATGGAAATGCTTTTCGTAAACCCTTGTTTTTTGAAATATCCGATGGCATAGTTATCTGCGTACGTGATGAAGTATTCGATACCGGTCCTTGCGCCCTCCTTCTTGACGAGGTTCATCAACTTGGTACCATACCCCTTCACCTGATGAGAAGCATTGACGGCGCAGAAGGCGATTTCGGCAAAGCGCATTTCCGGGAAAGCGCGATAACAAATAGAGCCGATTACTTCCTCGTCGGTATCCTTAGTGGCMGGATCATCGTTGAGAATAACGAGGGATGTATGCCTACGATCAAAGACTAAGCGAGCAATATATGTGCGTGGCATTTTTGGAAGTTGTCGAGAGAAGAGTGATTTAAGCGCGACCAATTTGATGAGAGATTCAGGCTTTCCATCATTACGAACCATAATGTATTTGAGCGAGTCGTATATGTTGGTTGTAGTCGTATTCTTCTTTTTATCGGATGGAGTATCTCCCATCGGCTCATTTGTGCTGGGAGAAGAAGATGACGGTGCACCTTGCGACGACTCGTTGCCRTCTCCCTGTTTCATTTTCACCGAAGATTCACGGCCATCGTTCTCCGAAGTTTCCAAATCATTGTTTGTGCCATCATTATTGTGTTCAATCCCATTTATTCCATCCTTGACCTTTGAATTTTCTCCTCCGGTTTCGGTTTTYATATCATTGRTACCATCCTCATCATCTCTCTCTTCTCTTGATGYTGTATCTTTGTGGTCGGCATCTCCCCTTTTCAAGGGAGATAGATCAGTTTTATCATCAACTTTTTCTTCGTCACCACCGGYATGCAATTGCTTGTCGCCCTTGCCGTTGTTTTCTCCCTCCCCCTCAGAGCTATCCTTATCACCGGCATCGCCATCGCCTCCGGGATTTCCTTCGCGCTTTTGTCTTTTTGTCGGCGCTTTCACAATTTCTTCATCTCGGTCGACAKAAGTATTATCTACAGGGGGAGACACGTCCTCAATGGTTCCGGCCTTCCGCTTTTGGCTGCTTTCTCTGGCGCCATTCTCTCTTGTCGATTCCTTCTCGTCTTCCATATCAATTTTTCCTGCCATTGCTTCTTTGGCCTTTTCGTAGGTCTTTTTGAACTTCGCGTGACGGCGCAAAGTTGACTTGGGCAATGAATCGAT